AGCTATTTTTAAGCTTCTTTAAAGATTAAAGTTATGCCCTTTTTCTCTACAGTTCTGTCACATATGCTTGGCAATTTTATTCTATGAGAATTCATTTTCACTCTGCTTGAGAAAATATATACAGCTCAAATTCTAGCATAAGGTATTTGAAAAGTTATTTAAAAACCTCACAGTATTGGGAGAGGCTAAAGGAAGAAAGTAAAAAAAGAGGCAAAATAGGAAAGGTATTAAATAATTTTTTGGCAATTTTTTTTCTTTAGAGGATTATGTTTCAGACACAAGGATATTTTTAATTTTTTAGATCCCCAAAGAGCATGCATCACACAAAATTTTCTGTGGAAATAACAGAATATAATACATGTTAAAATTTATTGCTCATCAAATTGGTGAACAACGTTCCCAGAAACAGTTGTCGCCAATGACCTTCATGAGCTGCCTCTTCCCACCCCCACCAGTTTCGTCATCTCCAATTTGTGTCTAATTCTTCCAGTTTGTGTCTAATTCTTCCAGTGGAAAATAATGGTTCCTGCCTTGAAGTGTATTCTTTTGGAATTCTGGAGTATCTTAGTATGTGTTCAGTTACACTCAATTTAAAAACAATTAATGTACTTCAGAAAGCTATCGAAAAAAATGCTAGTTTGTCACAACTGAACTCACATGCAGCTATTTTTTTCTATATTCCATTTTTGAGGAACAGAAGGAAAGGTCAGAAGATTTTAGACAATAAAATGTAGTATTTTTGCAAGACATATTTCTCTCATATTTATCAAGTTGAATATTTATACTCCATGATTTTACATTTTCATCTATTTTGGAACCATTTATGGACCATATAGATACACACCCATTGTTGTACATTTATTAAATATAACTACTTAATGCAGGAAATGAATTTCCAAGTGGATGAGGAAATAAACTTTTTTGACATAATCAGTACAGTAGCACAGGAACTTTGTACCAAATTTTTACCATGAAATAATTAGCCATAATATGAGACTCTAAAAAAGATAGTTTTATCATATTTGACAGTAGCAACTCATTTAACTTCAGCAAAATATAAGGCTGCATTGTGATGTAACTTGGGATAAATGTGAACATAGATATTTGCTATTTCAAATTACAGCTTTTCTGAGTGTTTATTCAAGTGTGTGTGTAGATTATATGTTTGTATACATACAGCTAATATTCTTTAAACAAAAAGATGCAAAATCAACAATTTGCATGAATGTTTACATAAATGCTTGTTTCAAGTTTATGAGGTACTAATCCCTTCAAATGCTCTTCCAGACTACTCTGTATTGTGACTTTACATTTTAAAAGCCCAACTAATTAGATTCTTATATCTGAATTTCCAGTTAGGAAATTAAGTTAAGGCATTATGCTTTTCATAAACTGAATGATGAAAGACTATGTACTGAATTACTATTGCTGCTAATTCTGGCATTACATAAATTATCCTTTAATCTTAAAGTTATCTTTTTAAAGAAGCATTTTGAAATATTATACTGTTATTAGTGTATCAGTAAAAATACATTTTTGGAAAATGTTAGGGACAATATTTCCTCAAATTATTAGAAAATAATTAAAAGTTCAAAATTTAAAAATTAAAGAAACTGAAAATTTTGGCTTGCAGAGAGATAAATGCTAAAATATTCATTTTATACAAATGATATTGCAACTATAAATATTAATTTGAATGGAACTGCATCATCTGAAAACTGCTTATGCCTACTCTTCCAACAGATGTACAGCTCCTCCAAGGCACATACAGTACCATCAATCCTCATCATAATCTTTAACAGTGTCTAACACACTTAAGCACAAAAATGCTTGCTGGTTTGCTTGGAAAATGCACATGCAGACATGTTCAGAATTCACCCTTAAACAATAACTTATTAATGGAAATGAATTGATAAAATGCACTCCAGATTGGGCAACAATCAAATAAATTTCATATAGGGAGGACAGGTTTCCTGCCCAGGCCTGGAACCAAAACAGAAGTCAGAAAATCTCATGGGGAAAACCTAGGAGAGAAAAGATTGAAACACAGTTATTAATTATGTGCCACTAGCTTCATGGAAATCAGAATTATTTTATGTATCCACTTCTCAAAGTATTAAATGGATAATAAAGTGCACTATTTCCAAATATGATGAAAGCAATGATTGAGAGGCTTGTATCTTGTTTTTCCTATGTATTACTGCTGTACAACATAAAACCTAGAAAAAAATGCTTTCTGAAAAATTAGTTCCCAGTGCTAATCTCCATAATACTTTGTAGCATGCTTCTTAAATTCACAGAATAAATCCTAGTATTTGGTTGTTTCATGATGACAAGAAGATATCAGATCATGGATAACATTTATAAAAGGCAGTAATACGTGATTTGCATATAATTTATACATCCAATATTATTGAAAAAACTGAAGATACAGAGACTAAGCAGAGAAATGAGTTATCAACATCTCACACTGAACAGTTAGTTTCTGTATTCCAGTTCCCCATGCAAATATACTTATATGCTATATATATTATCCTGTAACTTGCCTTTCCTCTTCCCAATATATCATAAATCTTTCTTGTCATTAAAAACTCTTATCTTATTTCAGCAGTACATTGGTATTTGTGTTTGGTATAATTTACCCTTCTATTTTGCACATTTAGGTGACACATTTTTATTATCGATAACGAAGAACCACTTCATAGAAACACCATTTGTTCATTTATCCAGGCAATCCCTCAGAAAAACTTTCCAGTATGTTTCTTCAAGGGTAAGAACGTTTTAAAGGCTTTGGATACATACTGGACACCTGTTCTGAACCCTTTTGTTGTGGTTTATATCTAAAATGTCCTCCCAAGGTGGAAGGTGACTGGATTATGGGGCACTATCATCATCAATGGATTCACTCATTGATGAGTTCACTAGCTAGGCATGGTGCTAGGAGGCAGGGCCTGGCTGGAAGTGAGTCACGGAGGGTGCGACCTGGAAGAGTGCATTCTTGTCCAGGCTCTTTTCTCACTGGCTGCGGAGATGAGCGGCTTTCCTCCACCCTGCCCTCTCACCATGGGTTTCTGTTTTGGAACCGGCCAACTTGGACTGAATCCAGTGGAAAGCATGAGCCAAATAAACCTTTCCTTCTTTAAACTGTGGGTGTTGGGTGTTTTGTTCCAGTGATGGAAAGGTGATTAATACAACTTTATTGGTTTAAACTTTCACAAGCTTTTATCTCAGGATGTTCCCTCCCCGTATCAGTGAAAATGTCTATTAGTCTTTTAATCTATGCAGACAGATAAAACAGTATCCTACTGTCTTATGTATGAATGCAGTGCTGGGGGACCTAACAAGCCAGGGGCCTCATCTGCTAAATGTTTTCCCTACCACTGAGGGACATCCCCAGGCCTCTAGTGTCCAAGTAAGCATGTAACTGATTTGATACTTATTATCTGTCAGCTGTTCCAATTTATTTTGCCTAGGACAAATGACCTAATGACCCTGTACCTAAATTGCCTTATGTACAGAATGAAACAATCCTACCATGTCTCAAATTATAGTATTATGTGATAATGTGAGTTCTCACATAATAGTTGTGAGGAAATAATATAGGGGTACTTGAGAATTAAATAATGTGCATGGCACCTGGTATATAATAAGATAATAGTAACTATTCTCAGCAATATATTGTTGGCTTTGATATTCATTTTATTTGTGGCAGCATCATATACAATTCATAAACAAAGCCCATTGTTTTGGCAATCTATATGTTTTTTTTTTCAGTGTTAAGGATGGAACCCAGGGCTTCATGCACGATAGGCAAGCATTCTATCACTCAACTATACCCTTTGCCCTTAAAGTGTGTTAATTTGAATCTGGGTTAAGTTAGTTTTAAAGGCTTCTAGAAAGTTTTTTTGTTGGAAAGTATACTGTACTCCTGGAAAGTAGTACTTTATAAAAATTAAAAGTATTGCTTCTATAATCAGCCAAGTAATTACAAAATGTTTAAGCTGGAGGGAAAACAGCAGATACTATAATGGAAAGAGTGGATATAGGAGCTGCTATCCAGCTAGCCCTGCCTTGGCCACTGCCATGTGGATCACAAGACTTAATACATGGATGTTAAATTCTGATGCCTCTGAGCAGATGTTAGACACAATAATTAGTGTCCATGTTTTAATTATGGCTATTCCTAGGAAAAGCAAATCTCAGTGTACCATCCCAACATTTTAACTTTAGTGAGCAAATATCAAGTTTAAGAGAATGGTAGGAAATAAAGAATTACACAGAAATAATTCTGGAGATCTTTCTTGTGTAAAGAATGGGAGAAAAACATAAGTTCAGGAAATTTAAAGTTAAATAGTTGAACATAGATCTGAACATTTCAAATTTGCAAGACTCACTAGTCACGTCCAGATCCACTAACTTTTTCACCTCTGGGTTCAATCATACATTACACTTAACATGATCATTAAGAGGGTTTCTACATATACTGTAGTTAAACAGTAATGTCCCAATTTTATCTGGTTTATGGCATTTTTCTGTTGAGACTGGATTTAGCTACTTTTATCCTGTATTTGGAATATTACTATTGGGAGATTTTTACTCCTGAAACACATGTAGACTCTTCATTCAAGTGATATCATATTCACTTAAAAACTACTGACATATGAAGCCAGGAGCTTTGGCTTATGCCTGTAACTCTAGTTACTCAGAGGCTGAGGCAGGATCACAGGTTTTAGCCAACCTGGGCAACTTGGGGAGAATCTGACTCAAAAAGTAAGGGCACCCTGGGCCGGGGATTTAGCTCAGTGGTGCCAGCCCCTGCCTTCCAAGTGCAGGGTCCTGAGTTTGATCCCCGGTACAAAAAAAAAAGAAGGGAACCCCTTGTTCGCTTCCCAGTCCTGCACTAAAACCAAAATGAAAAATAACAAAAACAAAAAAGAAATAAAAGTACTGATACATGAATAACCAGTAACGACTAAGGTAACAATGACTGTTAATTACAATTTACAGAACACTTAATATTTATTCCATTACTTAATATTCCCAATTAGAAGGAGAATAGGAAAAAAAGCAGCACAATATATCACATACAGGTACAAATTCCCTATGAATGTTATCATTATGTATATCTAAAATGTATCAATAAAAAATACTCTCAATCACTTTATGAGGTAGGTATTTTTGTACCTTTAACATATGAAGAAACTAAAGTTCACAAATACTAAGCTATTTATGCAAGTTACTGGGGGTAGGACTATAATTTAATTTTCAAAGCAATACTGTTTGCAGAATAATCAGTGAAATGCAATTCAGTCATCCAATTAGATGCAGAATTATATTCCCTATTCTATATGTATATGAATATATATTTTAAAGAATAACCACTTAGTACAGTGTATTAAACTGAAAAACAGAACCTAAAAGAAATATTACTTCTAATTAAGAGTAAGTGTGAAATTTGTCATCAAATAAATAAATTACTTTATATGGATTATCTGTAGAGGAGTCATAGGTAATTTCTTGATATGTTAATTTTGAATTTCACTCAGTATTTTAAAAAATAATAAAAACACTTATTAAACACTTGTTGAACTCATTTAAGTGAAATATCTTGTTGAGTTTGTAATCACAATATTTGTGACTTGGTAATAAAAATGGGAAAACAATCTGAATCTATTTTCATGGCTCATATACACTGAAATGCAAAATGCACAGACATCCCATAAACTGTATGTCTGAGCTTCAAAGAAAGTATAAGAAAGTTGGCACATAGTAAAAATCAATACTGAAAATGTCATTCTATATATTATGATTACAAATAGGCATAATTACACAATATACTTTATATTCATGTCTTAAGCTGTATTTCTAAAAATTATAAATACTTCAGATAGTCATTCATTTTATATTGTACTTTAGTGAAATGAAAATGTGGTTTTATTTAGCTAACTTCTAATATTTAGAATAGTAAAACTGAAAGGAACACTCCAACTAAAGCAATACAAAAGTGTACATTTTAATAAAATGAAATCAATATTTACTTAAGATTGTAAAAACTCCCTTAATTGCAATCTTGATAAAAATTTTTTTAAATTAGGCTCAGTTCTTTGATTTTAAAAGAAAACTGTCATCTAGCTAAGACATTTAGAATATGAACTACTTCCAAAATTTTCCTAGAAAAGGATCTTTTGTATCTGATCTCAATAAACAGATTTAATCTACTTTTCTTCAATACAGTATTTAGGCCACATCTCAAATTAATCTAATAGATCTTACTTTTTAACAGATAAAACTGTTAACATAAAAGCTCTTAAAATTCTTCAGCTTGATATTTCTTTCTCTAAAAATCTATAAATATTAGGCTTCCTACAAAATTCAGTTCACTCCTGTGCATATGACAGGGAAGTATTATACAAATTCTGTTATTTCTCCTCCAACTATCTAGTTACAAAGAGAAAAAAATCAATTTTAGAATAAAGTCCTTCAACTGGCACAATACACTTACCTTTAGCGATTTGTGCCTTCAATCTCCAAAATAACCCTGTTTTCCCTGACACTTCCTAATCTATCTTAGAAAAAAACAGGATATTCCAGGAAGGAATCTGACAGTAGGACACACTAAGAGATTATGTAAAATGGGTTGTCAAACATGATCTTACATAGATTTCGTGTTCAGTTAAAATGTTCCTAGGTGGTGAGGACATACTAAAATGGAGAGAAATCTCTGAAGACAAATTGGTACATTGCAAATTAAAAACTTGAAACTGAAAATTTTGTAATAATTTCTCCCAAAATGGTGCATACTTTTCTTTTTTGAAAAGTTGTAAGATACATTCTTAATTTTGGGTTTTAAGGAACACAATGATAGTTTACACCAAAAATTTCTTATATTTAAATGAAATTGTATGAGGGAAAAGTCTCCTTAAAATGTGTATTATCAAATATATATTGACAAATTTTATTTCTCCAGTGTGGGTTAGGAGAATTCTAAAAGTAAATATCCATAATTGTATCTGAAAAGAATCTAAGTATGGTTAAGCTTAAGCTATCATGTGAACTACTCAATTTGTCATTTTATTTTAAAAGTGTAGATTTTATTGAAAGATATCTGATTTTGGCTTTGAAGATACAGGTTCAAGGTCTCTTCGTTATTCCAGAAACTGTTTATAATGTTTATAATTTCAACAGTACCCTAAAAGTTTTTCCAACAGGAAGTTTCAACCTATTGAACAAAACATATGCTCACACTCTGATGTTCATTTCAGCAGCATTTGTCTCTGTGAAGCACATCAAATTCACTCAAAAATCAAATGGCTGATCTGATAGAATGATTTATTTTCTCATTATAGGAAAGTCATGAGTGACTTGTTCTGAGGTATGTTTTTCAGCTATGAAGGACATCTATTAGAAAGCTCCACACGTGAAGGTTTCTCTTTAGGTGATAACATTTTATGGCTGAACAGTTTCTGCAGGTACCAAGTTCCCAGTTGTATCCAACTGCATACATTTACACGTGCATGCAGACACAGGACACTCTGCATGGTCCCTAAAAAAAAAAAAGGTCAAAAAACAGTTAAAAATCCAAATTACAGTACATGAACACATTTATCTATATCTATCTGTAATGCAAGTTTTCAAAATGGCATTGAAAACCCCAAGGAGAAAAGCTTTAAAAGCATCAAAATTAGAAATGACTGCCAAGTTGAACTTGGGATAGAAAATTATTAAAAAATGAATAGCTTCGCTTTCTATATATACAGTAAGATATCTCCTTTATAGATAAGGTGACAGGGATATGCTCAAGTTTAATTAAAGCCAATTAAATGAGTTGGGTATCAGTGCTATAGCTATGAGATATGCACAAGGCAAGTGGTAGTGTCCAAAATAAAAGCTGAAGGTCTTGAGAGTCTCCACTGCATGAGGTGCTTTCCTACCACATAGCAAGTTTACTTAGAAAAGAACCAGTGCAATTTGTATGTTCTCTTATCATTACATTTGTAATTCAGTTACATGATAAATTATAGGATACATAGTCAGAAAAACTGTAAATATTGCCTCTAATAAAATTACATAATGATACTCATTTAACACGTACAAAATACATTTTATTTAACTATTATCTTATAGATTAAGATCACATAGGCTATCTAGTGTTAGATATGTTGATCTTACCTTTACTAACTCAAATGATAGTAAAAAAGAAATTCATCCTTTTGCTATACAGTAATAGCATAAAATAATAATGTGAACTATTTAGAGGGCAATCTGCCTTATGTGCTGTAACTCTAAGATTATTAAAGAAAGAATGTACTGATTACCTGAACCAACTAAGCATGTGTCCAGCATGTCCACCATGCCTGCAATTGTGACACCATGTAAACCAGTTGTTAAATTGAGCTAATTTTTTGTCCTTGCTCAAGTCAACTTTTTCATCTGATTTGGATCCTCCTATGGAAAAGGAAAACTCTATTTATTCACTATATTATAATATTAAGTTTCTTAAGAGGTATACCTAAAACAATGTTCAAAATACAAATTTCACATCACGTGGAAACACTGATTTGGATGCTAGGGTGTAGAGTTTTACTCAACAATAAAGACAGATAATTATTATCTATACAAACCCTGTCAAAAAAGACAAAAAAGAAATTTCCCATTGTATTTCACAAGGCTGATGATACATCTTGCTAACAAAACCAGACAAAAATAAAATGAATAAGGAAGATTATAGACCCATCTCCCTCCTGAACACATATAAAAATCCTGAGTGTAAAATATGAGCAAATAAAATCTCACAATAACATAATCCTATGATTTAGCAATTCTACTTCTTGGTAAACGTACTAGAGAAACTTTTACATATGTCAATATGAGACATGTATCTTAACAAATGTTCTTTAATAAATAGTCCTGAGGAAACTCACTATCCATATGTAGAAGACCGAATCTAGACCCCTACTCTCACCATGTCCTAAACTAAAATAAAAAACTAAATGTTACAACGGAAACCATCTGCTGGAAGACAAAATAGGTAAAACTCTTGAAGACCTAGGCATAGGCAAGGACTTTCTGAACAGAACACCAAACTGCACAAGAAATAACACAAAGTAAGAATCGACAAATGAGAGCAAATCAAATTAAAAAGCTTCTGCACAGCAATCAACAACCACTAGAGTAAGAGACAACTAACAGAATGGGAAATTTTTGCTAGCTATTCCTTAGTCAGAAGACTAATACCTAGAATATATAAAGTAGTTAAAAAATTAGATCCTCCCCCAAATAAAAGACCTAATAAAAAAATGGACATCTGAAATGAACAGACATTTGTCAGAAGAAGTCCAAGTGGCCTATAAATACATGAAAAAATATTCAACATCTCTGGCTATCAGAGAAATACAAATGAAAATGACATGGATGTTCCATCTTACTCCAGAAAGAACGGCTCTCACCAAGAAATCAAATTGTAAATAACAAATGCTGGCAAGGATGCAAGAACAAAGGTACCTTTCTACATTGTTGATGGGAATGTAAGCTAGTACTGGAAATCAGTACCAACTCTCCACAAAAAAAGTAATCATTATGCACTGTAGACATGTATTAAAAAAAAAAGTAAATTAAAAAAAAAGGAATGTTCATAGCAGCATTATTCCTAATAGTAAAAATCTGGAAATGACCAAAGTGTTTATTAATAGCAAAGTGTAGAAACTGTCTCAGTCCTAAATAGAACACTTAATAGTAGTAAAAAATAAACTCCAGCTAAATTCCTCTGCATGACTGAAATTAAAAAAAAAAACCCCAAAAGTTTAATATTGAGCAAAAAAACGTGAGTCAAGGAAAAAATTCTGTAGGTCCTTTATATAAAATTCAAAACAGGAGCAAAAAAAGTGAACATATAATAAGGTTATACATACAACGCAGAGACTAATTAACATGCAATTTAGGAAGGTGGCAACCTCTGGAGCGGAGGAAAGCGGAGTCACTAGACGTTTGACTTATTGTATATAATACATATGCTAATATTCATATTATGGTTCACCAAAATTTAAACAAAAATATATTATTACATATGCATGTTCATAATGTTCAACTCTGTATCTCTATGTACCTTTTTTGTGTTCAGAAAATGGCCATTCTAGTACTTTAGGTTATGTCATTGTGTTGTTCTAAAACAAAAAAATCAAGTTAAAATATTGGAAAAATAAGTAAAAATATTAGGCCTACTTAAGCAATTGTTACCTGCTAGAATATGATGTATAGATAATCATAATCAAAATTTCATTTAGGCACTGCTCTCACACTTTTAACCACTACAAAACTGGCCTTAAAACCAGAGAGTTTAAAAACATATTCATCTATTTTTGCTTATGATATGAAAGTAAAAGAATGCATAGTAGTATGTATTTATTTAGTGGTAGGGGATAAACCCAGGGCTTTTGCACTGGTCTACATTCTCAGCTGTTTTTAAAATTTTTTGAGACAAGGTCTTGCTAAATTGCTTGGGTTAGATTCAAACTTGCAATCCTGACTTGTTTCCCAGAGTACTGGGGTCACAGGCATGCCACCAAACCCAGGTTAATATTTAAGAAGATGTAGTTTTAATCTTTGGCAAGTTGAAACCCAATTTTTCCAGCACCATTTATTAAAGAGGCTATCTTTCCTCCAGTGAGTGTTTGACTCCTTTGTCAAAAATGAGGTGGGTGAGGGTGTCTGGAGTTGTTTCTGCATCTTCTAATCTGTTCCACTGGTCCTCAGGTCTGTTTCACAGCCAAAACTATGGTGCTTTTATCACAGTAGCTTTGTAGTATAGCTTCAAGTTGGGGATTGTGATACCTCCTACCTTGTCTTATTGCCTAGAATTGCTTTTGCTGTATCTCTCACCATGCACTAAACTAAAATCACAATGGATTAAAGATTTTATATTAAAATAGAAACACTAAGCTTGCTGGAAGATAGGTTAGGTAGAACTCAATGAACACATTGGTGTAGGAAAAGATTTTATGAACAAAACCCCAGTTGCTTGTGAACTAACACAATCAACAAGTGGGATCTCTTATTAAAAACCTTCTGCAAAATAAGTAAATAAATAAATAAATTTAAAAAAAATAAAAAGCTTCTGCACAGCAAGAGAAACCACTAAGAGTGTGAAGAGACAACTCACATTGTGGGAAAAAATTTTCACCAACAGTCCTTCAGACAAAGGACTGTTATCTAGAATATATAAAGAACTTAAAAAAACCAGACCTCCCAAATTTAAAGACCCAATCCAAAAATGGGCATCTGAAATGAACAGACATTTTTCAGACAAAGAAGTAGAAATAGCAAATAAACATATGACAAAATGTTCAACATCATTGGTCATTCAAGAGATGCAAATGAAAACAATGCTGGGATTCCACCTCACTCCAGAAAGAATGGCTGCTATCATGAAATCAACCAATAACAAATGCTGGTGGGGCTGTGAGGAAAGAGGAACCCTGCTCCACTGCTGGTGGGAGTGTAGACTGGTGCAACCACTGTGGAAATCAGTATGGAGATACCTCAAAGAAGTAGGATCGGAAGTCCCATTTGACCCAGCTATTCCCCTGCTGGGTATCTTCCCCAAAGAATTAAAAGAATCATACCACAGTGATATATGCACCCATGTTCATGGCAGCACAATTCACGATAGCTAAAACTTGGAAGCAACCCAATTGCCCATCAGCTGGAGACTGGATAAAGAAAATGTGTGTTTTTTTAAAAAAATAAAATGGAGTATTACTCAGCCATGAAGAATGAGAAACTAGAGACATTTATAGCTAAATGGATGCACATTGAGGCGATACTCTTAAGTGAAATAGGACACACATGTGGTAAATACCAAACAGTTTCTCTAGTGAGAAACTGAAAATGTAAATAAGGACTAAAAGATGTAACAGATAATGTGAAATAGATAATGTGAAAGAAAAGGGTCAAAGGGGAAGGGGAAGTGGGAAGGGTAGGGGAAAAGAAGGGAATGGAATTAATATGAGAAAAAAATGGAAACAAAGTCTTTGTTGATAGGGAGGGGTAGAGGGCTTGCAGAGAGGGCAGGGGAATGGGGAAAAAATAAGAACCACAATGGATTATGTAAAGGTGCAAATTTCCAATGATGATTGTCATTATATTGTATACCTTAAATGTACCAATAAAATTAATTAAAAAATATTTAAGAAAATGTAAATACAATGAAACTGTTTATAAGTTACCAACAATCTTTTTAAGTACTGGGGATCCAACTCAGGACCTTGTGCTTGCCAGGCAGGCGTGGTGCTACTGAGCTACATTCCCAGCCCTTTAAAATGCACAGAACAAACTATTCCTTATCTTTTTTTGATGAAACTGGAACTATTAAGGGTTACTCTATTGCAAAGGGAAAAGGCTTATTTTTAAGATCAAGTGACTTTAAATTTTAAGAGGCAGTAAATTATAAAGATAAGTGATACAGAATATCTGAGGAAAACTAGAGTTCACTTTCATAATTTCAAATTAAGAAGAGTAAGAAGGAAACCAGTGCACAATCTAACTTTTAACAAATATGTCACTATCTAGAACCCTTTGTCCAGCCTGGACTGCAGTGAGTAAAGAATTAACTTGGTCCACATCTAAGATATATAATATAATGTGTAGAAGTAATAAAACTTCCTTTAAAAATATTTTTAATAGTTTAATAGCTGAAAAACTATTACTGATCATTACATTTTCCTTGCCAAGCTGCACAAGTGCATGTAACATCCTGGGTTTCCACAGGACTGGCTGTGTGTGGGTACAGGAAGTGAAGTTAGCACTGCACTGCACCCTTCCCTCAACAGTATTCCACTGTCACCTATGCAGCTCATGCTGGAGCATGCACAGCTGAGTTATGAAAAATGTTGCTAAAACAATCACATAATAATGTTAAAAGTTTATGATCTTGTGGGGTTACAGCACTAGATGTTCTGGGCCACATGTGCCCAAGAGTTACATGAACATGCCTGATCTAGAAGTTACGCTCTATGAAGGCAGATATGTTTTGTTCACTATATTTCTACTACTTAAAAGAACAAGTACTGGGCCAAGGATTTAGCTCAGTGGTTCTGCCACCTGCCTTGCAAGCACAAGGTCCCAAGTTCAATCCCTGGTACCAAAAAAACAAAAACAAAAACAAAGAACAAGCACTAATAAATATTTTGTTAAATAATGTTTATAATTTATAATCTATATAGTGATATTAATTAGAACTGTTTGAATAGAGTCCTAATCTTCACTACACAACTGAGTATAAAAATATGCAAATCTCAGTTAAATAAATAAGTTTATGGAAATCTTAATTATTTGGATCATGAAACATGATGGGTGGATGCAATTGTTGATTAAAGGCAAAGCACCAGAGATGATTGTATATCAGAACTTTTAGGCTGCCATGAACCAGCATTTGATTTCTATTAGGTCCC